ACGGATAAACACAGTAAACCATTTTTGACCGATGAGAAGAAATGAAATATGGCAACCGTGCATCTGTGACCCACCATAATGGCACGGGGGAACGTGTACCATGCCTTAATTGGAACTTGAATAAATCATTACGAAGATGTCGGGTTCTTTTTCTAATGCCTTTTTTTATCACAAGTAGCAGTTACATTTAATTTCAAAGGTGAAATAATTATAGTTACAGCTGGGAGATTTTTTTTTAATAGCAAGTTACTATCCTGCCTTTTCAGTAGTGTTCTTGTTTCTTGTATAAATCTGAGGTCTTCATCCAGCGGTGGATAGACAATGATTTATACATTCACGATATATAAACATTGAACCATTTTATGATCGCTTCTCGCTTTTCTTAATATAGATGTTGCATTCCAGATTTGACCAAGACGATAATTATAGAAATCCAGTCTTTCATCATATAGTTCAGCTTACAGTATGAGTATGAGTTTTAAAATCCAGTACCTTACTGTACAATATCAAAACGATGGCATGTTATAGAGTATTAGAATGGAAACTAGCATGCAGTAGACATTACCCATTAACACCAGCCAGTCATTTTGGAAGCAACGCTGAATTTATATTACACAACAGTTAGTTTTGGAACCTCATTTGCCAGTAGAGAAATATGATAATTGTTTTTTTTACCCTTTTATCTGGCAACAAAACTGACACCTTTTTTTACAAGGAGTCATGTTTGCATAAACCACAATACCTGCAGTCGTTATGCAAACAAAAAACACAACTCTGATAATGTATGCACTGTCCAACACCATGTGAGTCTAGGCTCTAAGGAAAGCTGTCTCGGGTGTGGACCAATCAACTTCAAGGACAGTGCATACATTATCAGAGTTATGTTTTTTGTTTGCATTACGACTGCAGGTATTGTGGTCTATGCAAACATGACTCCTTGTAAAAAAGGTGTCAGTTTTGTTGCCAGGTAAAAGGGTAATAAAACCAATTATCAACAGTCTGACAAACACAAACCCTCTTGGGTCGGACAGGTTTGGGATGCAAGGGCTGGCTCAACATTGAAACCCGTGTGAACACATTTTGTACAATTAAACCCAAGCAACACTGCAAGTGTTAACCTTTAAGCTGTTATTTTAAAAAATACCGTGTACAGTATTGTTTAATGGATTGCCTCGTTTTATGTCACAGGTGTAATTTTGTCTCATTAAGGGGGCTTGAATTAACTTTTAAAGCAATGGTTATTTAAACCAGATTCACAAACTTTAACCATATCTTAAACATACATTCGTTTAAGTGCTAATATGCACTGAGTGTACATGCATTATACTTTTCAGTAATTTTGTAGTATTTGATATGAAAAAAAATCTCATTACTTTGTAAGTGTCTGATCTTATTCAGTTATTTTTTTTATCATTTTACTTACAAACCTGATCAATTTCAAGGGGAATTCAATGTGTAATAAGAGAGCGCCATCTCCTGTATTATTGTGGGGGGTGTATTACCTTATACAGGCTGTTTATCTATAGTGGATATTACATCCAGGTGAAAGGCGATGAGGCGGATCGACCAGGGAAGTCTCTGGAACGTTCTCGAAGGTTCCAAGAGGGGCGTGGCCAGAGGCGGGGCTTAGCCTCCGGGGAGCGAATATAAGCCGGGGGCAGAGCAACGTTCGGGGTCGGTGTTGAAGATAAAGAGAAGCTCCCTGTTACAGCTACCCCGCCATCTCCACCTGCCACGTGGCGGCTCGACCTTCAGCCGCTCAGTTGCTCCCTAGCACGCCATCAGCCAGTGGCGTGTTGGTGAGCGGGTGAGCGCCACGTGGCGCGGGGCAGCGCAGCCACCCAAGTGGGTGGACATCCGCAGAGAGAGAGAGAGAAACAAGTCTGTACTGAAGATTTATTAATAAACAACTTCAAGTCTTTACCGTGTCGGAGCCACTTATTACAAATGTACTATGACACGTCTGCATATTACAGTCCCTCCAGAAAAACGCGGAGTTTTTTGGTGATTGTTGCGGGCAAAAATCGTTGATTATGCGGCACGTTTTCTTAAAAAATGCGATGGAATATGCGGGATATTTATGCAATTTTATGCGATTAAATTGCGGGAACTTGCAAAAATTGCGGGAACTTGCAAAAACTGCGGTTTGATGAAAAAGAGAAAAAAAAGTGATTCCCCCAACACCCTATTCACTAGGCTACTACTTTAATGTAAATAGTCATTTCTTATTACTTCCTATGATAAGCAAGCATACTGCATCACAGAAAGTGCTGGGAATATTTAAGTTCTCATCTTGTTTTATTTCAGACCTTAACAAACAGATGGCTCAAACTTACAAAACATTGAGTCGAACAAGTTCTGTAGCTTTACAAAATGAATATGCTACAACTTCTGTAAAAATGAATAAATAAAAGATTAAAAAATAAAATGTGTGCTTCCTGTTTTACAGAGGTAGCTATACAAAACAGACATCTTCTGTTAAAATAAGTGTTTTCAGTGCACAGTAACGTAAGCAATACAGTAACAGTACAGTCTTACAGTAATGTAAATGTACATACTACTAACAAAAAAGTGCAATCTTACAACTGTAAAGTTGCATAAACTCCTGACTAAAACTAACTACGTAGCCTCTAACACTTCATAACGTTCCCATGGCAACAGGGGAAATGGCTGCGCTTGTGTGAAGTAAACGCAACATTTTTCAACTTTCTGCTAAGATATATGTGACTTTTTGCAACGAAAATGCGGGGATTATGAAATCATGCAAGCCCGCATATTTTGCGCGCGGAAATCTGCAATTTATGCGGCGAAAGTGCGGCGTATTTGAAAAAACGCGCCCCCGGCATAAATATGCGGACTTTGGCTGATTTTGCGTGGAACCTTGCGATCGCATAATCGCGTTTTTCTGGAGGGACTGATATTAGGATCACTAACTCTACGCATGCCAACAAATACTTCAGCCTCGCGTTGAAGCAGATTTGGAGTACCTTGAGCTCAATTAATCTGCCGTGAGAAGGGACAGCTGCAGCTTGTGGATTAGCCCCATTAAATTAGGGGCACCTGGACTCTATGAGGCTCTGGTTCCGGCAATAATTTATCTTGATGACCTCGCCAGTAACGTCAAGTGACTGATCTATTCCGTCTCCTTTACCCATTGCCTATTCCAGTGATCACTACAAATGAGCAGCCTTTACAAAAAAAATATATATTTTTAAACAGTAAAGATACATTTAGATGCTGCTTTGATGGTTTTGAATTTAATTTAAAAAATGGTAAAATGTGAGGGGATTTTAAAGTATTGCATTAAGTTAAAGCCACCGATGTGCAAAGTAAATTGTTACTCATCTTACTTGTGGCACTCGGGACGAGCGTAACGCTTTTATACCTTAAAATTGTGAAAGACTAAGTGCAGGTACAATATGATGCTTAATCTCAACCCTGACGCCTGCATATTTGGAGTTTGCATGTTATTCCCATGGTCGTGTGGATTTTTCTCCAGGTCCGCTTTTTCCTTCCGCATTTATTTGGCTGCTTTATATTTCCACGTGATAAGTCATATTTGTTTGCCAATGAATGGAGTCACGCAGTTTTCCTTTCAATGCGGGACACACCGCATCGACAAAATAAAAAATTCATCATTATTTAGTCTAACCTCCACAGTGTACCATGGATCTTAAAGTAATGGAATAGACATTCAGCTGCCCAACAAATAGATATTGCACTATCAAACACTACTGACTTGAATACTACGCATGATTGTGGTGACAAAACCTGGTCAAGTTCAACAAAAAAACAATTCGCGATAATATCCACACTTCCATTATATTCGTATCTACAATAAAACCATGACATTACTTGACAGTCTCATCTGACCTGTCTTGGAATGGCTATACAGTTTCACTAAGCTGGTTAAGGAGGCATGCAAGGAGCTAGGATTTATTTTCTGTGTCAAGGCCTTTTTTACTATGAACAATTCGTACCATACAAAGCACAATGTCGGCCAAAGTTGGAATATTGTTGCATATCTGGCATTAAGCAACCAGTTTCTACCTCACTGTACTTAATAGAATTCAGCTTAAAGCAGTCAGGGTGATTGGTGGTCCAGCACTCACTAAATTTACTCCACATTCACTCACTCACTGGCAGTCAGTAACCACCTCATCACGCTTCCATCGCTACTACCACGGTTACTGTCCCTCTGAACATCACTCATTGATTCCTCCACCCATGTTGAGGACAAGGTCTATGAGACTGACTGTTTTGTCTCATCCATACTGTGTTCAACAAACTTACTTATAATCACACGTCTATTTCTGCTACTTTCCTTGTAATACTCAACTTTCTAATTCCCTCCCACACTTATCTTTTACCAAGCTCTCATAATCTTGCTCAATTTAACAATGTGTTAAATCGTATCTATTACAACTTCAACCGTGCTTTTTGTTGCTGGTTCTTTGGCTTTGTGGGCCTGTGGGCCTATGCTTGGCAACCGTGTAAAAAATAAGCCTCTTCTGTTTCTACACACTCCTGCTCTTTGGATGGTGTGATGCCTCAAACCTCCTATACACAAGTGGATGACATGGGAAAAGAGCCTTTGCTTTTGCAAAGAGGAGGAGGAGAGAATAAAGGACCCATAAATCAATGCTGAGCTGTTCCCTGACATCTTCAGAAATGGGAGCCACCTGATTAACTCCTGTGTATCCTCTGTGAAAAGGGCACAGCACTACTCTCGGTTCAAATTACATTTATTTTGTGGATTGGAAGTGAGTGAAATTTTTTCTCATCAACTCTAAAGGAATACTTAGAAAAAAAGTTTCAATCAAATATTGAAGATGATGACCATCTATGCATTTGTCAATTATACTTACATGTTTTATTTTCTTTGACATTTAGGGAACATTTTGTACAGTTCGCATTTGGCATGTTTTGTGTGAATGTACAGTTGTAACCAGAAAGTTATTTTCCAGGTTCTAAGCTGACATTTAGATTTTTTTTGGCAGATAATGGGATGGAGGACAGTGCTCACAAAAAGCGATCCATTGCTGGGCTGGGCACTTTCAACAGAAAATCTGGTAAACGTTCTTCTTTTATCATTTGATTTTAGGTATCCACTATTAAGTAAAAGTGTATCAACATTACTGTAATCTTTTTCCTTTCATATTAAGTTATAATGCTGTGTTTGAATGCAATATGACAATTATCTATAAGGGTCCCATGATTTTTTTGTTCTCAGGTTGCCTCATGGTAAATCTGCAATTATTATGTGTAAAATGCAAAAGGTAGATTGCTGACCTCTCTTAAACAGCTTCTCTGTCATACCCTCTTGTACAGTAAATGAGTTCTTATACACAGAGGAATGCACAGGGTTCAAATACCCACTCGCTGTACTCCCATCTCCAGGTCACCTTTTAGCCCAGCAGCGAGCTTAAGAGTCAAACCAGTGATCCAAAACCCCCTAGGTACACCTTTTCGGCCGGCTGTTAACCCTTTCACAATAATGATTGCAGTTGGGATTTCACGTTCATGGAAGACTGTAATAAGCATCTGCAGTATGTGGTTGATGCTGTTCAATTTCTGGCATAAGTATGCACTGTAATATATTGTATGACATTTATTGGTGGCTTAGATGAGATTTTAATGAGATTTTTTAAACCCTGAAAACTATTGTAAATATACCTTTTGTCATATCGTTCCTGTGTCAGAATTTAGTCAATTTTTATACCATATGTTATTCCATGTTACTCCAATGTTATACTATATATTATATTTGCACATAATGTTACTTTTAAAAACATGATTAGTACAGTAATGTTTTGTGACTGAGAATATTTTTCGACTGAGGTATATTGCATAAACGTTATTCATTTGTAATACAACACTATTGTTAGTTTTGCATGTCTTTTTATCTAACACATATGCATCTGTAGCCTTTTAAGCATTAAAAAATTGGTTAATGAGTATTGAACTCTTACCGGACATTGGTGCATTAAATCTGATATCCCTTGGCACATGATCCGGTTGCAATCAAGCTTTGAAGTTCTCAGTGCTAATTCACCATGCAGTCATGGGCAGATGCAAATTATCACATGTCAATCAAAAATGCGGAGGTTGACGATGCACAGTTCTCAAAGCATTTACAGTAAATGCATTAACATTTCACGAAATTGAATCACTTCACGAGTAAGGGTTCTTTCGGTAAAAATAAGCCCATTGCAATTTAATCAAAAGTTGTGTTCACCCTAATTATATTCTCGCAAGTTTTGATGTGACTTCTCTGTTCAAGAGGGTTCCGGTCAACGAGTCAATTAAATTACTCGACACTGGTATTGAACAAAGGTTTAGCCAATTATATATCCCAAGAATAACTGAACGCTGTCTAAAGAACACCTATTTCTTGTGGAAAGGTGACTTCTATAAACAAAAGGAAGGAGCAGCAATGTGCTCCCCTTTGTCTCCTATGATAGCGAATTTGTACATGGAAGATTTTAAAACAAAAACAATAGCTTCAAGCAAACCCTCTGCTTGGTTTAGATATGTGGATGACACATTGGTGGTCTGGCCACACGGAAAACATACACTTCACGAATTTCTAAATAATCTCAACTCGCAAAATCCATCCATCCATCCAAGTCACCATAGAAGTGGAAGCTGACAGAACTCTACCATTTCTGGATATGCTGCTCGGATGGGGTCGAAATGGTAAAATAACACACAGCGTTTACTGAAAGAAAACGCATACTGACGCCTATTTCAATGCAGAGTCACACCATCACCCTGCACACAAATCTGCTCATATCAAGACGCTCAATCATCAAGCTTAGAAAGTTTTAGATATGAAATTAAACATGTTAAAGCAGCACTGCAAATGAACGGTTACAATTATGCACAAATCAACAGGGCATTGAATGCCAAAACCAAATCAAATAACACGAGCATTTAAACGGCCCAAGTAATTAAAACGATCAAAATAGCGTACATTGCGGGAGTAACTGGTAAACTAGCCAGATGTTTGGAAAAACAAAACATCTGAGTCAGATTTGGCATGGTACATAAAATACATAAATTAATATCTGGTACAAAATAAGTATTACCGAAGCTATCAACAGGTGTGTACAGGATTAACTGCACTCGTAGCAAATGCTGACGAATGATCAGCACGAGACTAAAAGCACACTAGAAAAATATGAAATACTCCCAAATACAACTGTCAGCGAATCATCAAATAATACATTGTTTAAATGCATGGCTATACAGGCAACTATACTTCCATAGGGATTACCGTTGGTACGGCTATTTTAATACACACAATGGACAGGAAGGACACGATCAAAGAGCTCACATATTGCACATTAATTATGTAAGTTGACTCATTAATCCCCCCACATCTACGTCTCTATATAAGGAATGAAACAGGTGGACTTCTGCACAAATCTGGCTGTCGCCTGATGAAGCTAGTTGTAATTACTGGCGAAACGTCGTACTCAAATGGTAAATGGTGTGGCTTGGCTCTCCAACACACTGGTGTGCTGTACAGGAATACCTTGCACTTTCGTCTGGTTAGGGACCAGAGCATGGACGAATGTCAAAAATGGACGAATGTCAAAGCAGGGCCTTTATTTAGCTTGCAAATTTATTTTGGGTGGCGAAAAACGTACATGCAAATAACTATAGTAACTATATAAACATGCGTGCGAAACCTAAATAAACAAATACAAGAAAAATAAACGTAATAATAAATAAACAAAACTAAATAAATAACCAAAACTAAATCAATAAACAAAATTATACCTTCAAATATTTATATTTTTGCTTAAGTGGACGATAAATATATTGGTGATTTAGGGGGAATCTAGGTTCATAAAATAGGAAGGACAAAATTTGTGAGTATAAGATTCATCATCAGAACCGGAAATCAATATCTTTCTTTTGGGAGAAGGGGACTTTGATTGAGATCACAATAATAACTATGAATTGTTTACATTATAATCACAGAAATAAGTACACGATTAATAATATATGAATAAACACAAATATAATAGATGCTCACTGAACGACTTCTATTCAAAGACTGAACGTAAAAAATGGCGCATGGCGCAAACCTCGTGGAAGGTTGGATGAAATTGGACGAAAGAGGAAAGGACGTGGACGAAATTTGAAATGTGGTTATAATTGAAAACGGCTGAAAAATCGAAGCGACGAAAGTCAAGTGGACAGAAGTCAAGGTATCGCTGTACTCGTGACGAATTGGCATGTTTTATTTACGTAACAATCCTTACTACAGTGAGGGAAAAAAGTATTTGATCCCCTGCTGATTTTGCATGTTTGCCCACTGACAAAGACATTATCAGTCTATAATTTTAATGGTAGGTTTATGTGAACAGTGAGAGACAGAATAACAACAACAAAATCCAGAAAAACGCATGTCAATTTTTTTATAAATTGATTGGCATTTTAATGAGGGAAATAAGTATTTGACCCCTCTGCAAAACATGACTTAGTACTTGGTGGCAAAACCCTTGTTGGCAATCACAGAGGTCAGACGTTTCTTGTAGTTGGCCACCAGGTTTGCACACATCTCAGGAGGGATTTTGTCCCACTCCTCTTTTCAGATCTTCTCCAAGTCATTAAGGTTTCGAGGCTGACGTTTGGCAACTCGAACCTTCAGCTCCCTCCACAGATTTTCTATGGGATTAAGGGCTGGAGACTGGCTAGGCCACTCCAGGACCTTAATGTGCTTCTTTTTGAGCCACTCCTTTGTTGCCTTGGCCGTGTGTTTTGGGTCATTGTCATGCTGGAATACCCATCCACGACCCATTTTCAATGCCCTGACTGAGGGAAGGAGGTTCTCACCCAAGATTTGATGGTACATGGCCCTGTCCATCGTCCCTTTGATGCAGTGAAGTTGTCCTGTCCCCTTAGCAGAAAAACACCCCCAAAGCATAATATTTCCACCTCCATGTTTGACGGTGGGGATGGTGTTCTTGGGGTCATAGGCAGCATTCCTCCTCCTCCAAACACGGCGAGTTGAGTTGATGCCAAAGAGCTCCATTTTGGTCTCATCTGACCACAACACTTTCACCCAGTTGTCCTCTGAATCATTCAGATGTTCATTGGCAAACTTCAGACGGGCATGTATATGTGCTTTCTTGAGCAGGGGGACCTTGCGGGTGCTGCAGGATTTCAGTCCTTCACGGCGTAGTGTGTTACCAACTGTTTTCTTGGTGACTATGGTCCCAGCTGCCTTGAGATCATTGACAAGATCCTCCCGTGTAGTTCTGGGCTGGTTCCTCACCGTGTTTGTATAAATATACCCATCATCACGGTTGAAATTATGTCTGACATAATTTCAACCGTGATGATGGGTACAAACTTAGTAATCATTGGAAAGATGTTATTAACCACGCAAAAAAGACTTAATTACACTTTTTTGGACCATCTTATCTGACAGGCACTACTTTACTTTATCGAGTGTTAACATCCCCAGTGTTTAACAGTAATCTCTTCATTGTTCAGCCAGCATTGGTATAAACATGGGCATTTTCGTTCTTTTCTATCATGTGTATCAGGCCTCCCCCTCCCCCTCTCTGTCCAATGCGTTGGCGTGTGCAGCAGTTTGTCGCTTGCGCACAATCGCTTCCACGCCGTCGCCCACCCTTTTGGCCCCGCCCCCCTCCCTCCCGATACGTTCCATTCATTGGCTACCACATTCTGATGAGCTCCCCCCCCTCTCCTCCCCCCTCAACTCGCTTTTAAGGGATTACATCTTGAATCATTGCCTCACTTGATGCAGCTAATCTGGCTGTGACGGTCCCACCTGATGACGGAGACTTGTGTTGTCTCCAAAACGTCGTGATCTTTATTTTTTTTATTTTATTAATTTTGATGTTTTACCTACGTGACTTTACCGAAAAAACCTAAGAATATGAATCTTGCATGGGAGCCCCAGGCCGAGGGAGATTGACAGTTCTTTTGTGTTTCTTCCATTTGCGAATAATCGCACCAACTGTTGTCACCTTCTCACCAAGCTACTTGGCGATGGTCTTGTAGCCCATTCCAGCCTTGTGTAGGTCTCCAATCTTGTCCCTGACATCCTTGGAGAACTCTTTGGTGTTGGCCATGGTGAAGAGTTTGGAATCTGATTGATTGATTTCTTCTGTGAACAGGTGTCTTTTATATAGGTAACAAGCTGAGATTAGGAGCACTCCCTTTAAGAGTGTGCTCCTAATCTCAGCTCGCTACCTGTGTAGGACTTGAAATGTCACGCTCCACGCGTTCTGTTGCTAGGGGAGCGAGCAGCGTACAGTGGGGGCAACTGAGGATACAGTTGTTGTTGTGTGCCATTGAGGGGGAGGTCATTAAGAGACACCACAGGTGTTAAGGGTAACTGAGGACGCAGGCCAGTGATTGGTCAGGAGGGTGAGTGGCTGATGACTGGCGCCGGGCTGACGGCGATAACATGGTCACGTGAGGCTGGGGGCCTGGGGGCGAGTAGCGAAGCGGGGGATGAGATAATTAATTGGGGCTGATTGGTTCAAGTATAAAGGCACAGCGTAACGGAGAGACGGGAGTCTTGGTTGGTGTTGGAGTCGGAGTTGGAGTGGTTGTTGCCCGGGACAGAGACGGAGCAGCACGGAGCAGGAATAGATACGATAAGGGTAGGCAGAGAGAATACAGATAGGGTAGCAGTGGATAGAGAGAGTACAGCGTACGGTAGCAGTGGATAGAGAGAATACAGATAGGGTAGCAGTGGATAGAGAGAATACAGCGTACGGTAGCAGTGGATAGAGAGAATACAGATAGGGTAGCAGTGGACGGAGCGAGTACAAAGTAGAGTAGCAGTGGAGTAACGGACCTTGGGGGAGAGAGAGAGAGAGAGCGAGCGAACGGGGAGATATGGAGTGATGATGATGGCGGATTGTGCATTGGAGCGAACGGAGAGGCATGGAGTGATGACGAGGAGGTGTGAACTATACGCGTGAATAAAAGAGACGAGAAAGACAAGAAGCTGTCGCATCAGTACGAGCCCTACACCTGTATAAAAGACACCTGGGAGCCAGACATCTTTCTGATTGAGAGGGGGTCAAATACTTATTTCCCTCATTAAAATGCTAATCAATTTATAACATTTTTGACATGCGTTTTTCTAGATTTTGTTGTTGTTATTCTGTCTCTCACTGTTCAAATAAACCTACCATTAAAATTATAGACTGATAATTTCTTTGTCAGTGGACAAACGTACAAAATCAGCAGGGGATCAAATACTTTTTTCCCTCACTGTAGTTGGCTGTGTCGGGTGGTGGTGGGTTTTAACGACACATATTTATGCGATCTAATCCAAAAAAAACCCTCTTATGTACGAATACTGTAATTGATTAAACTAGATCGACTATATCAAGATATAGATTCAAGGCGTAGTAAATTAATTGGAAGGTTCTTCCCCCCATATATCACCCCCTCTTTGCTGGTGAAACATTTGCACTGTGGGTACTATAAAGCAAGTAATTTTTTTACCAAAGCAAATTATATTCGATAAGAACTTACCCATGAAAGTAATTTAATCACAAATCAACCACATATATGCTAATTAAAGTATTTCATTAATATGAAGTGCAAAGCGCAATTATGAGAAGCATCCACGACAAAATATTTTTTATGTCATAGACTACTGTACTATACAATGCAGAAAAATAAATTGTTGTACTGCGCTCCGATGCCCTGATATCTAAACTTTCCACCTTCAACCCATGACCAGTATGGGGAAGTATGGTTAAATATTCCCCATGATTTGCAGTACAGACATTTTTATGATCCTCAGAAGCTCCTATTATCCATGGCCCTATGTTTCCTATTTGTGATTTTTTCAAATTTTTACCACATCTAAGTTTGGTAAATTAGCAAATAATCTCGTGAATTATAGAATCCGTGATGTTTGTCCCACACAAAGACAAAGATCCCTCGTATAGTCTTAATAGACTGTAGGGGCAAGTGCTGTTAGCGAGCACCTATAAAAGCCAGCACAGGCACACGAGTGGGTGGGTGGCCAACACCACGCCTGGCCACCTTTGACTAAACATCATTGGCATCACCATGACAGATATGTTACGGATAAAAGTAACTGGCTGATTGTGAATAAAGCTTGCTGTGGGGCTGTAGGTGGCTCATAAGTTGTAATTATTATAAAACATGGCATGTTATTACCTCACTGAATTTGCCCTCCAGATTGATTTAACTGTCCACCACTATATTTTGTACAACTCACCATTTTCATAGCTTTTTAAGCTTTTTAAACTGTACAGTGATGAACGATGTTCTAGTCAAAGTTCAAAATTAAGTAGCATAGTTGGTACAAACTAGATTCGAAGATTTCGTGACTGCAGGTATTACTCTTTGGTTCTTTCGGTAAAGTCACGTAGCTTACTGTTTTTTTCATTCATTCTTACCTGATGACGGTTGCTTGTGTTGCAATCGAAACGTCGTATTCTTTATTATTTGATTTAATTTTCTACGTGACTTTACCGAAAGAACCAAATAATAGTTGGTACAGTTGGTCTTTTTACAAATTCACTGGTTTATTCATAAGTTTACGTAACGAAGGAACTAAAAAACGATGTTTAAAAAAACAAGATTGGTTGACAAATGTTCAAATATAGCCATGGTAGAAACATAAAAAAAAACATCCGTATGTTTGTATAACTTCTATTGAAAGTGCGATTGAATTTATACATGTGGAGTGGGCTCAAATAGGCGCTCACACTTCTTGGGAGGCAACACTGTTTATACTGGCAGGAACCCACTGGTTCCACCAGCCCACAGGCGATTATTGTGTCCGTCCGTCGTGCCGGAAGGGGCTGGGTGGGGAGGGGCTGGGTGGGGAGGGTCTGGGTGGGGCTGGGTGGGGAGGGGCTGGGTGGGGAGGGTGGTGAGGGGCTGGGTAGGGGGTGGGAGGGGTGGGGCTGGGTGGGGAGGGGCTGGTCACCCCGTGGTGCCCTTATAAAACACAACGTTTAACCTACTCACGCCGTCTTGTGCCCGCCCTAACAGTCGGGCATATTTGCGGAATACACCACGCCGCCGTTGACCCTGGCCATTGACCGAGCAACCCAACGTTCCTACCAGCTTTCTCTGCAGGAATGTGTTTTAACACCACACGGGTTATTACATAGTGTGGTAACCACCGTCCTATTCTAACTCACACGCCGTCTCTCTCTATCTCTGACTCTCGAATATTCTAGCGTGACCCAGCCAGGTGGGCTACTGGCTGGCCCGCTGATTGGAGGCTTGACTCTTCTTGGTGTCTTCTTGACGCCTCTTCATTCTTGACAAGGGCAGCCTCGAACCTCGTTCAGAGGCTGCTTATATTGGCCTCGGCGTGCCCGCCTACCTTTGAGAACCTTCTCGAAGCCTCCCTGCTGTCCACGTGCCCCCCACGGTGTCCCCCGGGCCCCTGGCCCCCACCGAGATCCGGTCACGTGTCCAGCCGGGGTCACGGAGAGTGCCACGGCCTCCCGAGTCCAGAACCGGCCCTGACGTCTTCCCCGCCTCCCGCTGGGATGACGTCATGTGTGTGTGTGCGTATGCAGTAGTGACGCTACTGGTCACTAGTCACTACACATGGACTAGTTTTATGCATCCCATTCCGTAACACTTTCATAAAAACAATTCTGCATTGAAGCACGTGTACATTAGGTTGAAATTAATACCAATGATTAATATACATCTTCTTGACAATTACTTTCTGTGACATTTAAAATAATGCATTTAAAGGAAACGCTGTAGTTTGTTAAACTGAAGTAAATATTGCATACTGGAGTTCATGGTTGAGTGCATTTATAAAAACAAATATTAGAAAACTCTTACTTTGTTGGCTTTGAGATGCAGTTTTTTGTGAACAAATAACAGTTAAATCATGAAATGCTGTCCACTTCGCACAATTATAAGGCTGTTTTTATTTTGCCCCTAATATATGACATAACTGTATATGGGTAAAGCTACAAAGCACACTAACTCTGTTGATAACCGATCAAAGGGGGTATTATTCTACTTTAAATAACATTGATTATACTGTAATATTAACATTATTCCTTAGATGACTTTGTGCTTGGAATTTAGATAACCTCTGGTCTTCAAAAACGACATAAATTGTTCAACTTAGGGTACATTGATGCACATATTATGTCAAGTTTGAATGAACAGGATGAGTAGGTATTGTAGACAGCATGGGCCAGTATGTCTAATTTGTGCGAAATACGTTTCACTTGCTCACCCATGTTGGAGGTCGAGATCTGTACCTCAAGCACTACGGCACAGTGAGCGGGAGCTGGGGTCTTGTGCCGGACGTTGGGCCCTTGCCGTACGACTCTCTGAGCCCAAGCCTGGGAGGGGGTTCCAAAGTGTGTGGAGGGGCTGGAAGCTTGCATGCCACCGAGGGCACGTCTGCATCCCTGCCCACGTCTCCACTCCTCTCGAGACACATCGGTGGCATGAGGCCATGGTCTGGACACAAATCTCCAGGTAAGTGTGTGTAGCGAAGCCAGTATTAATAACACTATGTAACACGATTTCTGTCCCGGGGTAGTAAGTGTTATTTTTTTTATTGCTTATGCCTAAAAAGTATAGAAAAGGCTATTATTCCCCACAAACTTTGCTTTTGTGACCAGGACTTTATGTGCAGGAAGGACACAAATGCACACGTTTTCTCATTGAAAATGGGTAAATTTAAAAATATCACTGTCCGGGTCACAAAAGCAAAGTTTGAGGGGAATAATAACCATTTTTTGTACTTTTGAGGCATAAGAAATTCGGAAATAACACTTACCACCCAGGGACAATTTTTTTGTTACACAATGCAATCATTACTTTTTCGTCTCATCTGGCTGGTAGCTCTGCAGATAGGGAGCTTGGCTCACAATTATGTACAGTCGATGGTTATAAGTGCAAATGCTGGTGGGTGTTCATACCTCCAGGGTTGATTATAATGATTGAGAACATTGACCAATGCATTAACCGATGGTATCAGTATTCATTCTTATAATTTCCGACGTAGAGTTTTTTTTTCTATTCCATATAGTTTTTTTTTAATATTCCACATATTTACGTGCGTTCTTTGGGTTGTGTTTGCACTTCCAGATGCCAGTACACAGAGCACAGAGGCCCACTGGGATGCAACATTCAATCTGTAGTTACTATGGTAACATATTGGCTTGCAGGAAGCCAAATGGGTTTATTTTTTTGACCAGCAACTAAAGTGTGTAATAAATATAGTTCTTCCAAATTTGATGGAAATATATATTCATGGTATATATATTGCTTGCCAGTACTCTCATTACCAAATAGCAGTACTGTCACTTTATTGTTGTATATATGATTACATTTTTTTACAGAATTAAAGAGGCAACTCATGGTTAAGCTGGAAAGCGTCTTACTACAATAAAGTAATAATTAATGTTTTCCAATGTAGAACAGTTTAAAATGTGTACGATATTCTGACACTTTGCTGAATGCACTTTCAATTATTTTGGTAATCCTGTCGTGGTCGGCAATACTGTACAGCAGTCTGAAGAATCGTAAATGTCCCTGTGTAATCTTTTATAACGCCCAATTGGGCGTTAGCACAATGTTAAAGTGCAGTTTTTCTTTCTTGCAGCAAGGTCCCATAAATCCAACAAGTGAGCCCATGGGCTTTTGTCCAGTTTTACACAAATAAATTAACATTACAAAAGCTATAGCCTCATTGGCAACCCGGTGCTCATGCTTTGAGCTTGGTTTCCGAGTAGCCATTGCTCCTGAAAAACTCGTGCTCTGGCCAGTATTGCATCACACTGTAGTTATATCAGTTACAGATTTAAGCCAAGTGCACAGTTTTCAGTGAGAGCTATGAATGGTGTTGCTGTTGGAATGTTGTCTGGGTGATGAATGAACTACGATGCCTTGCCTAGGACAGAAGTAGGAACGTTAAAGAGTGGTGATGCATCGGAAAGGCTGGAAGACCGATGAAAGATGAGATGCAGATCCGAAGTGGGTTATGAGGTTCAGTGATGCAGGGTTGACTGAATTGTTGCTGTTGGACTTATTCACCTCATTTATGACTGTGACCTTCAAGGTAAGAAGAAACAACAGAGACGACGGTTGATGTTTGCTTTGCTTATCACTCTCAGTTACTCCCTGACTAACGTACCGATGGGATGGAGTGAGCGTGTCCCTTGTGTTTTAACCCTATATGCAATTTGTGTAAACAAAGAATAGGAATACTCCACAACACTAATACTCTGACTATGGTTTTTGTGTAAATGTTGCTTGTACTAAACATTGAGTAAGCAGATGTTTTTTGAACTATATAATATAGTAGTTATTAATGAAACGCAATACAGCACGTAAATATATGCATCGGAACGTACTTAATTTTGTTCAAATTAAATTGAAAGTGGGGCATATACATTCGAGAGAATAACCTACAGTATAAACTTGAGTTCAGTAACGTCAAAATGCTAGTTTTATAGATCACATTGAACCAGAATACAGTATTACTAAAGTACTCTAAAAAAAATATTTCAATTGGTGATTTCAGTACGGTATTAATAACATACCAATGCAGTTATACGGTGCAGTACTTCAAAATATTTAAATCAAATTTTTTTTCTCTTCGATTGAATTTTCACTGCACATTTTTTAAAAATGTACGTGTCTCTGTAGTGTAGCATGTACTATAAGAAATGACCAAGGTCGGCACTGTACTGTTTTAATGGCTAACGTAGGGAAGTCTACAATGCAGTGTATACTTTACTCTTTGGTTCTTTCGGTAAAGTCATGTAGATAGAAACATTAATAGATCACGACGTTTCGACCGCAACACAAGCAACCATCATCAGGTGAGACAAACACAGCAGGAGAACTGCTGACGCAGGAGAAAGAGCTGCTGCAACACGAGGTTATATAGGTTAGGTGGGCTCAACCAATGGGTAAGTGGGCGGAGCTAGAGATGGAATTTGTACGTAAATGTAAGAGATTGGAATGTCAATGTGGCTTTAGGTGGGTTAAACCCAAGGGTAAATGGGCGGAGCTAGAGATGGAATTTCTATGTAAGAGATTAGCATGTCGATGTGAGACAGCTTCAGCAAACCAGGGGCTGTGCCAATGAGAAGATTAGCATGTCAATGTCAGAGAACCGGGCAACAAGAACAAAAAACCCACAAGAGCAACTACGAGGATAGACCAGCATGTCAACGAGAGAGATACACATGGAGAGAGAGAGACAGAGAGAGAGACACACACAGAGAGAGAGACACAAAGAGACACAACACAGAGAGACAGAGAGATGGATACACAGAGAGACAACCACCACAACCGATCTTGACACCGCTGGTACCAGTCATTGGCAAGTCCACTCAGCTCCACATCCTCCTGTACCACATCACTCCATCTCTTCTCCAGCCCGTGCCGCGCCCATTTCGCCCTTTAATCCGGCCGAACAAAAGCTGTTTAGGCATGCGGTGGCGGGGCATGCGGACTACATGGCCCAGCTAACGCAGCATTGCCTACCGGAGGAGCTCACCGATGGGACTTTGTCCAGATCTTTCAAGGATTTGTGAGCTTCTCACACAATCCAGCCTGGTTAAACCCAGGATGGATCATAGGCAGGCCAGCCTAAATGTCTCTAACTGGCGAAGATGTTCCTTTAGGGGGGTCCACGTTTCGCAAGCATAGAGACGGGAGGGAATGACCGTGGCCGAGAAGACCTGAAGCTTTGTGCGGAGCAACAGACCAGGTAGCTTCCACACAGCGTTATGCAACCGATGAAAAGATAATGCCGCTCGACTGATTTGGAGTGAGACCTCTGCTGTTAAACCGGAGCCGGTCATGAGGAAACTGCCCAGGTATGGGAAACTCTCCACTCTCTCCACAACTGCCCTATCACCAATTGGGAGTTGTGGGGGTGGAGTGTCCGATGGTACAAAATACCCAGGCAGGTGCTTAGTTTTGGTGGGGCTGGTGGTAAGGCCCCACTTCTTAGTGGCAAGCTCCAGGTTCAGCAGCAGCGCCTCAACTCTTCATCTGAGTGAGCAGCGATTACCAGATCATCGGCATACATAACATGGTTGAGCAATAGGGAGCCATCCCTTGACCGCACCCAGGCATCGATCAGCCTCCCATTGTATCTGTACCAGATGGAAATTCCTCCGGTACAGCTATTGAAGGCATCACGAACTACGTGGTCGAAATAGATGTTAAATAATGTGGGAGCCAGAGGACATGCCTGTCGCACCCCAAGGTGTACAGGGAATAGCTCCCACTCCCGGCCACGTAGTTTTACCCGGGCCCGCTCACCATCATGAAGGTCCTTAATGATCGTGAGCAGAGGGTCACGGACTCTGAAAGCACGAAGAACTATCCAGAGCCCAGACCTACTGATGGTATCATAGGCCTTAACCAGGTCAATAAAGCAGTGATGTAGGTCTTGTTGGAATTCCTTACACCTCTGCTGTAGCAGACGGATAGAAAATATGGCATCTGTGCAGGACCGCCCTTTCCTGAAACCGCATCGGGGCTTCCGCAAGCCTCTCCTCAGTGTGCCTAGCAAGGATATGTTGAATAATCCTTGCCAGGACCTTACCCGGCACACTGAGGAGTGAGATGCTCCTGTAGGTAGTTGTTACAGTCTGTGCGGTCCCCCTTCTTAAAGAGGGGGACCACCAGGGCATCCTTCCAGTCCTGCGGAACCTGTCCAGTGATGTCTTTTAGGGCAGTCTGTGCACAAACGCCACCCTCCCTCCGCATTTCACTTGGGAGATCATCTCTGCCCGGTGCCTTTCCTGGTCTCAGACTCTGGATCTCCTTCAGTACTTCCTCAACAGATGGCACCTCAGCCAGCTACTCACAGGGGGTGACTTCCTCCAATATATGAGGCACCGCAGCCTCAGCAGGGTCATCCCCACTTTGTCCCACGTTGTTACCCAGGCTGAGGAATGTCCCCTCCCCCAGGACCTCACAGAAATGCTCAGCAAATCTGCAAACCTGTTCCTGGGGGTCGGAAATTGGATCACTGGGTACAAACTGAGCAATCATTGGAAGGACGTTATTAACCAGGTAAAGTCTTAACTGACTGTGATGTTTCCATCCTACTTGCCGATGTCAGCTGTTATTTCCGACTCTCTGAGTACTTCCCCAGGTTAAATGTCTTTACATTAACGGGCTAAGTGTCTCACTAACACAGCTAGCCGTTGCCCCTATCCCTCGCTATGGCGGGAGCTCTCGTTTTTTAACAGACGATAACTGTCTGTGATGTTTCTGTGTATGTGTCTCTTTGTTTATTTGTCTCTCTGTGTGTGTATCTCTATGTATGTCACTATGTGTGTCTCTCTCCATTTGTTTTCTGTGTGTGTGTCTCTTTCTCTGTGTTTCTCTCTCTCCATGTGTATCTCTCTCGTTGACATGCTGGTCTGTCCTCGTAGTTGCTCTTGCGGGTTTTTTGTTCTTGTTGCCCGGTTCTCTGACATTGACATGCTAATCTCCTCATT